TGTCCCATCATTGGTCGGTCCTGTGTGTCCCAGGGTTTCAGGCTGCCACCTTTGGGGGTTTCCTGGGGTGACTGTTCCCGAGGGCATGTCCCCAGGGTGTCGCAGGGGGGCTGTGGCCCCCCTGTCCCAGCGCTGTCCCTGTCCCCAGGCGCCTCTGCATCCTCAAGGGGATTTACCCCCATGAGCCCAAGCACAAGAAGAAGGTGAACAAGGGCTCCACTGCCCCCAGGACCTTCTACCTGCTCAAGGACATCAAGTTCCTGCTGCATGAGCCCATTGTCAACAAATTCCGGGAATATAAGGTGATTATCCCACCTGAGGGGTCACTGGGGCTGGTCCTGTCCCACAGAGCCCCAACATCCCTCTGTCCCACAGGTGTTTGTGCGGAAGCTCCGGAAGGCCTATGGGAAGAGCGAGTGGAGCACTGTAGATCGGCTGAAGGAGAACAAACCCACCTACAAACTCGACCACATCGTCAAGGAGAGGTGAGATGAGGCCTGGTGAAGCCCAACTGGAGCACTGCCTCCAGCTCTGGGCCCTCCAGCATCAAAAGGACATGGAGCTGCTGGAGCAAGTCCAGAGAAGGCCACAAAGATGTTCTGAGAGCTGAAGCACCTGCTATGGAGCCAGGCTGGGACAGCTGTGGGTGTTCAACCTGGAGAAGAGAAGGCTCCAGGGAGACCTTAGAGCTCCTTCCAGTGTTTAAAGAGGCTCCAAGAGACCTGGAGAGGGACATGGGACAAGGACCTGGAGGGACAGGACAAGGGAAAATGGCTTCCCACTGCCAGAGGGCAGGGCTAGATGGGATATTAGGAAGGAATTGTTCCCTGTGAGGGTGCTGAGGCACTGGTACAGGTTGCGCAGAGCAGCTGTGTTTGCTCCATCCCTGGAAGTATTCCAGGCCAGGTTGGATGGGGCTTGGAGCCACCTGTTTTGAGTGGGAGGTGTCCCTGTCCATGGCAGGGGGCGGGGCACGGGGCTGGATGGGCTTTAAGGTCATTTCCAGCCTAAACCATTCCAGGATTCTATGACCCTTTTTCTTTGGGAATACCTTCCTTTTGGCAATACTACTTTTCTGAGGGATGTAATGGAATTTATTGTTTGTGGGCTAGAGAAGGCTGCATGAGTGAGCAGGGAGCTCCTGGCAATCCTGGATGGCTCCAGGGGGACACTGAGCTCCCCTCTTCTCCCTATCTGGTGTTTTCCTCAGAGGTGTGGTTGGAGAAGGGTGAATCGTGCCAATTGCTTTGGTGGCAGGAAGCAAGGAGGGGACACAGGAGGGAGGGAACATGCTCTGGCAGCTCTCTTTGTTTTCCTGGTGGTGCCTGGGACCTCCCTGTACTAGGGCAGAAAGCAGCACTGAGGAGTGTCACATGCTGTGCCACAGGTCATGGACATGCTCATCCTGGTGCTCCAGGCTGGGATTCTCAGTGCCTGTGGGTGTCTGTAACCTGGTCAGACTCATCCTGTAATCCAGGGTGTTCAGGCACCTTCTCACCTCCTGAGGAGCTCTGAACTCCAAGAGCTGTGTTAGGTTAGATATTAGGCAAAGGTTCTTCCCCCAGAGGGTGTTTGGGCACTGGAACAGCTCCCCAGGGCAGTGGTCACAGCCCCAAGCCTGACAGAGCTCAGGAGCATCTGGATGATGTCTAATCATCTTCACTGTGAGCATTGTGTGTAGGTTTGGGCACCAAGAAAGATCTAAAGCTATTAGAGAATGTCCAAAGAAGGCTACAAAGATGATGAAGGATTTTGAGTTGCCACATGAGGAGTGGCTGAGGCACTTGGTCTATTCAGCTGGAGAAGAGACTGAGGGAAAACCTCATTGGGGTCTACAGATTCTTCATGAAGGGCAATGGAGGCTTTGTGACCAGTGACAGGATTTGGGCACCAAGAAAGATCTAAAGCTATTAGAGAATGTCCAAAGAAGGCTACAAAGATGATGAAGGATTTTGAGTTGCCACATGAGGAGTGGCTGAGGCACTTGGTCTATTCAGCTGGAGAAGAGACTGAGGGAAAACCTCATTGGGGTCTACAGATTCTTCATGAAGGGCAATGGAGGCTTTGTGACCAGTGACAGGACAAGGAACAGCTAGAGCTGTGTCAGGGGTAGGCTGGACAGCTCTCTTTGTTTTCCTGGTGGTGCCTGGGACCTCCCTGTACTAGGGCAGAAAGCAGCACTGAGGAGTGTCACATGCTGTGCCACAGGTCATGGACATGCTCATCCTGGTGCTCCAGGCTGGGATTCTCAGTGCCTGTGGGTGTCTGTAACCTGGTCAGACTCATCCTGTAATCCAGGGTGTTCAGGCACCTTCTCACCTCCTGAGGAGCTCTGAACTCCAAGAGCTGTGTTAGGTTAGATATTAGGCAAAGGTTCTTCCCCCAGAGGGTGTTTGGGCACTGGAACAGTTCCCCAGGGCAGTGGTCACAGCCCCAAGCCTGACAGAGCTCAAGAAACACTTGGACCATGCTTTCAGGTGGCTTGTTGAGGTGTCCTTTGCGGGGACAGGAGTTGGACTGATGATCCTTGTGGGTCAGCTGAGGATATTCCATGACTCTCTGAGCTTTAGTGGGATGTGTAGATGGATGCTCCACGTTTCGCATTCCCTTCTCCCACAAGGTCTCCCTCAGCCTTAGCAGCTTTTGCTGGACACCTGTGCTAGATGTGATTCCCCTTCTCCTCCCACCTGCACACAGGTACCCAACCTTCATAGACGCTCTGAGGGACCTGGATGATGCCCTGTCCATGTGCTTCCTGTTCTCCACCTTCCCAAGGACAGGGAAGTGCCATGTCCAGACCATCCAGCTGTGCCGGCGCCTGGCTGTGGAGTTCCAGAACTACGTCATCGCCTCCCGCTCCCTGCGCAAGGTGGGAGCTGGGGTAGGAGCTGGAGCAGGGCACCCTGCTCTGAGGGTGGGTTGGGGCACTGGGAGGGTGCCAGGGTGGCTGGGCTGGAGCTGCATGTGGAGAATGCATCCTGCTGGGGTATCTGGTGCTCCCCGAGGAATCTCCTGCCAGGGGGAAGGAGGAGGAGTGAGGAGAGCGTCATGGCAGCCCCATGGCTTTCCTCCCCCTGAGCCCTCTCTCTGTCCCTGCCAGGTCTTCCTCTCCATCAAGGGTATCTACTATCAGGCAGAGGTGCTGGGGCAGTGTGTCACCTGGATCACTCCCTATGTCTTCGCCCACGACGTGAGTACCAGGGCAGAGGGCAGTGGGATCCTACGGAAGGGTTGAGGGTCTAGCCTGTGGTGACACCACAGGGCCTGGCTCTGGAGGCACATGGGGACACAGCCCTGTCACCCCCAGGATTCCCTGTGGTTGCCTGTACCAGTCTTCCCATTGCCTCATTTTCTCTGTTATCCATATACACTTTTATCAGACAATAAAGATTAACCTGCAGGAATGTTGTTAGTGGCACAGAGGGAAGGGATGAGTCAGACCCTGCAGCCTTGAATAGAGGGAACCTGCTGTGTCCCCCACACAGCAGGGTGAGGGTGGCTGTGTGTGTCACTGTGCCAGAACAGCCTTGTGCATCCCCTGAGCCTTGGCAGGAGATCATGGACACAACAATACCTTCTCCATTCCCTCCCAGGTTTTCCAGGGCTGGGCACAGTTGGGCTGAGTCTTTGTGGTTTTGTGGCTTTGAGTAATAGATTCACAAACTGGTTTAGGTTGGAAAGGACCTTGAAGCTCATCTCGTTCCACCTTTCTGCCATGGGCAGGGACACCTTCCACTAGACCAGAGTGCTCCAACCTGGCTTGGAACACTTCAGGGATGAGGCAGACACATCTTTC